TGACCATCTCCAAGAGTGACATCTTCAGGCTTTTCCAAGTTATGCAATTTCACAAACTGACTCATATCATTGCACATATGACAAGTTGCTCCAGAATCAATTATCCATGTATTTGTTCTCCCGTTTACAGAACTAAATGCATGATTCACCATCAATCCCACTTCATCACTATCAGAGCTGCTGTCTGTTCGTCTGGATTTGGCTGCAGTGTTAGCTTTATGTTTGTTGTCAATACCCTCATTAAACTCACTTTTATCCCCATCATGTTTTAGACTATTCAGTTCTCAACAGTTTCGTTTAATGTGTCCAAACTTTCCACAATGGTAACATTTGGGACCCTTGCCTTTAGACTGTCTGTTTTCAAACATAGCTTTCATTTCATCATTAGTCTCAGACCCACTTCTCTCCTTCATTTTTCGTTCTTCGTGCAACAAACGTTCGGTCACAGTTTCTATTTTAGGAACTTCAACATTTGCCTCCAACGCCGTAACCAGTATATCATACGACTCAGGTAAACTTGCTAACAAATGAACAACTCGATCCTCTTCAGTTATAGGGTCATCGATGACCGCTAATCCATCAAATATCTCAGTCATTTCTTTGATGTTTTTCTGAATTGATTCACCGTCTTTTAACCGCAATGAATAGAGTTTACGACGTAGTGCCAACTTATTTGCCCACGTTTTCTTTTGGAATTGATTGGTCAATTTCTCCCAAACCACAGCAGGGTCTTGTGGATCTCCAAGGAGATACAACAACGACGGATCGACCGACAGAACAATGGTTGCCAAGGCACGATCTCTTCTCGCAACAAACTTTGCTAAATCTTCGGCTTTATCTGGACTTGGCGACACTTCAGTTTTGGCCACAATTCCCCATACACCATCTCTCATAAGTGCCATTCGACATTGAACTTTCCAAGTGGGGAAATTTTTGCCATTCAATGGAATTATACTCGTCGTTTTCACGTCCAAACCTGACGCCATATTTACAATACCAAATATATTTCCAACTTTCGATCACAAAAACTTTGTTTTACCTCTTTATTTTGCTTCGTTGTTTACCTCCTACGCATACGTCTCTGGGCCCATAACCTTTTGAAATGATTTAATTTAAAAGAATATAAAAACTATTTGTTAACAAAGCAATATCAACGAGAGTTCACTGTTCGATGTTTTTCATAAAAAACACGACAACCAACATGGTCTCCAATTAAACACGTGACCACTTAACTAATAAAAACAAACCGGAAGTCCGTAATGTTTATCTTATATAAAGTTTACGAGTGTATACTTTCAACACAAAGTTCAGTATATGGAAGTGGAACTGCTGAGTATATAAAAACATATGCATATTTACACATTTAACTCGGGTACATTAACGTAAGGGTCTCATTTTAGGAAGATAGGCCAACAATTGTGAAAAAGTATTCAAGCTAAGTATTTAAATTAAAAACACAAAATTATTTAGTATTCAAGCTTTTCATAACTACTGTACAGTTCAATTATTTTAACATTATCCAAACGGTATCTTGAATTTACTTACATATATGACCAAAAATAGCGTTCTATTTCAAGACCTAGGCAGCGGCACAAATGAATGGACCACGAGTGACCACAGATGGACCACGAATATATCAAAGGTAAAAAATGAAAGGCAAAAATATTTTGCTTTCGCGTTTCTCTCTTAAGGCTGATTTCCACTGTTGCGTTTTTCATACGTACGTATACCCACGTAAAACTTTAAATCCGAAAAACGTAACGCAACAATTGCGTACGAAAAACGCAACAGTGGAAATCAGCCTTTATTCTCTAACGGGAATCACTCTGCATGATTCACATTTATTTACACGATTTTAATATATTTGTCCCGCACTCTCAGAAAACAGACCCATACAAAATCCCTCGGAAAATACTTGTAAACACTGCTGGATTACTCTTTTTATATATAAAAATAGAGAATATACTGCAAGTATATGAGTTCAAGGTTAGTCGTTAGGTAAGCGAAGTTCAAATTAAGTTTGTTTGCACAGGTGAAAAACAAGAGGTGAATGTGAAAGGAAGAATGCTCGTGCGGATGTGGAATTAGTATGGAATGGGTTGGTTAGGATTAGGATGAGGTTAGGGTTATAAAGTCTCAACATTTTCGTTCGTGTTATAAGTTCTCCTCGTGAGATTTATTCCTTCGCTGGTTCTCGAATGGGACTGTTTGCTTTCGGGTTTCTCAAATTTTATTTATTAATCTATCATTCGTTACATATGACTGATCACTGCTATCGTTATAATAATAATAATAATAATAATAATAATTATATTTATCCAGGATACCCACATCACTTACGTGTTTTTCAGTGGGGTCCTGCATCAGAATTACAATTATTTACAATATTAATTATTGTCAATATTTAAATTGTACAAAAATATACAAATATATACATGCACGTTACAACGATGATAAATAGACCATTAATTTATAATTCATAAAAATGTAATTTAATTTAGTCAGTAAGCATGCAACGTGCCTCAAATGGTAGGAAAGAATCAATCGATTCACAAGTCGGAAGTCAAGATAAAAATGCTCAAAATTAAATTAAGCGTAGAGACACGGTGCATACCCGAACTAAACTGTACACATATATTTAAAATATATCAAGCATGCAATAACTGTGTCTAAGTACGAAGTAGATTATACAAACACTCTTACAATCTCTTACACAATCTTTCGCGATCTGCTTTCTTCGGCAATCTAACTCTTATTTACACTCCCCTACTTTTCATGCTATGGGAACTTTTTCCCAGAGGAAGGTCAATGCGTGGCGCACATTATGCAAAACATGAAAACATCCTCGCTTGGTTGACCACAAATCAACCCACAAACTCCCCTTATACGTACGTACATTCCGTCTTATTTACTAAAATGCTAAAAGTTCCTGTATTTCTTTAACGTTCGTATTTCCTGTTATTCAAATGTTCCAGTTAATTACTTATATATTTTTTGATTATATCATTACTGACATGCATATATAACTGTTTTACTAATATATTTTTACTAAATCTACTAATTTACAACAGTTCTAAAATGCAACTTTCTAGTTACTTTCAAAAAAGAATATACTTGTGTCACGTATAATATTTGTCATTTAAATTTTACCTTAGCCAATCGCACACGTAATCTAAACTCTCGTTCTGTAAATAATTTAACTTTAGTCTCTATATAAATCAGTTGTATAATATTATTTAAGCAGAACATATTCATTTCCTCCCGCGATTGGCATGCTATTGCAGGATTTGAATGTTGTAATATTGTCATGTGTATTGTTCAAATAAAGTTGTATTGTATTGTATTGTATTGTATTGTATTGTATTGTATTGTATTGTATTGTATTGTATTGTATTGTATTGTATTGTATTGTAGTTCGTACGCCATTCCGCACGGATTCCCCCGTTTAACATTCACCGTATTTACAGTTATATTGTCTCGACAATTCAGTCATCCCGTCATGGCTCATTCGCGCTACGTACATAAGAAATATTTTTCTTCCATGAATCGCATTACTGCAATCAAAAACACAAACAGCATTACAGCAGAATGTGAAAACTACATGTATTCTATGCCCCAGTTACACTGTACCGGTGGTTTGCATCGGAGCGAAATCTATGGGCGGCCGTTACCACCAAAAATACTACACGTGTGAAATGAATGGACATAAACAGAATTGATTCATTATAAACACAAACGCGATTCATTGTGTGTAGAAATGATTGAACATAACGTACTGTAACGTGACTGGACAAGATGAGAAACAATTCATCTAAACTTGAAATGATTCACCTCGCATGAAGTGTTCTAATTCGATTAGTGCTGTGTTAATTCGTGTAGACAATGTGAAATGGCTCAACGTGTTTTGCAATGATTTAATTAACAAGTCATGAACAAATGATTCATGCTATTTTGAAACCATTTACCGTGTTATGAAATGATTCAACTAAATGTGAAACGATTCAACACAATGTGAAACGATTCAACATTAATGTGAAACGATTCAATATAATGTGAATTGATTCAACTTAATGTGAAACGATTCAACATAACGTGAAACGATTCAACTTAATGTGAATTGATTCAACTTAATGTGTAACGATTCAACATAATGTGAAACGACTGGATGCGATGTGAAATGATTTGATGTATTTTGAAATGACGTAATTTGTGCGGCTCGGCGCGTGTTGTTGTGAAGTGATTCAACCAGTTTTGAATTGATTCGACGTAATGTGAAATGGCTTAATTAAATGTGAAGTGATTGGATTAGATGGTGATTGAAATAAGTCGTTTCCACTTGGAAAAAAAATCCTTCAAAACAGAGAAGCAATTTGGTATTTTTCGTAAGTGATTTTGGCTACTTTGCCGACCTCGTGTTGTTTTTCGAAACTGTTTCGCAAGGCGTTTTTTTTATTTGCATTTATCGTGGAATTGTTGTTTAGCAAGGTAGGTTTCGGCTGTCTTGATGGAAATATAACAGTAAGAGTGTGATTTTCTTCTAGGAAAGTTTTAAATGTGCTTTTTGTATTGTTTTTATAAACATGTCATTATTAATACACGAGATGATTTGTCGAAATTTTTAATACAAGATACAACTTTTATAGTGCATTTATAATTTGCATTATCCTAAAATCCTAACTGCTGATTTGGCCTGAATCAGTCCATAATGATAAATCTTTTAAGCCAACGTTCAGGCGTAAATACTGATGACAAAAAAACTCGCGGTATAAAATATTTCAATATATACTGTGTCTGTGTATTGAAAACCAGTTCAAAGTACAATTTTATACTCCTGAGGGATGGAAATGAGGGAATGATCGCTTGATCAAAACAATTTGAATTTTGATTTTTGAAACACACAAATTTGAAAGCGAAGCGATTTGTTTTACGTCTTATAATACATAGCTAAACATGTATCAATTTGCAACTTTGTTCTCATGAAAATCCCTCTTCCATATTTCCAAAACATGTGAGTCCAAATTGTGATATAAGCATAGAGATTATAAATAACACTAGAGGAG